AAAAAAAAAAAAAAGAAAAATCTAACTCAACTTTAACTCAACCATACCATCTTCAATATTATCAATATAATTCTCAACTTTAACTCAACCATACCATCTTCAATATTATCAATATAATTAAATAATACCACTCAATCATTCTTAGATCAACTTTAATTACTTTATTTTAAATATTATTTTATACTGAAAATCACTCTACCTAACCATACCACCTTTTTCAAAATTAACAAAACAAAACCAAAAAATTTAAACAAAATCAGAAAAATTCTTATATCCAAGCAAGCATCCCCTTAAGGTCTTATTACCTAATGTAGAGTTATTCAATTCTAAAAAACCATTGAACTTTATTCAGTAAAGCAAAATGAACATTTATGCAATGAACCTCAAAAAGAAATGTCAAGAAAAAAAAAATGTAAGAAGCACCTCTTTGCCAAGTTTCTCTTTCACAAAGGCAGCAACTCCAGCCAAGTCGAGGTTTAAGGCCACAAGACCACTCTTCCCACGCTTTCCAAATAACATGTCTGGCTTCACAACAAGTCTTGTTGATGAGAGCCATGGTTCTTTATCAGCTAGTTCATTGAAGTCTGTAGACTCAGTAACCTAAGCCATCAAAAAAGACAAATGATCCAAAATTGTTAAAACCAAAAAATGCCACCAAGTTTGTAAAATCTTTATGGATTTGAGATCTATTAGCTCCCATGTGTTGTTTTTGCTAAAGAGAACCGATTATATTCTAGAAATGCTAAAAGGGAAATATTTTTCAGTTCATTATAAACATGGGAACAAAAATTGTTGAGCTGAAAATGCCACCAAATTTGTAAAATTTGTATGGATTTGAAATCTATTAGTTCCCATGTGTTGTTTTTGCTAAAGAGAATCAACTACATTATAGAAATGCTTAAGGGGAAACATTTTTCAGTTCATCATACATCATCATACCACAAGAAGAACAAGGATACATACTCATTTTCGGAAGATTAAATTTTTACAAGAATAATATAAGCCTAGCATTTTATCTGCATAAACAAGAGGGTTATAGATATCAAAAGTTTAGACAACTTTAAGCATTCGATCAAAAGGAGATTCAGCAATATAATGACAAATTCTGCTTAAATGCATAAAACAATCATTGATCTGTTTTGTCCCTTCTGCAAACTAACTTTCTTCATGACAGTCAAATTCTGGAAACTCCAAATCTAAAAAAGTAATAAAAATAGGATTTTTTTTTTATGTGTGAAATGGGTACCCACTTGCGCAGATTTGATTTCCAGATCCGACCCGGAGATCCTCTTGAATTGCTCTTTCAATAATCTCTTGGAATCATACTCTCTGATCTTCTTCCTCGCCATCACTATCCAACCTGATTTTCGCCGAATCAAATGACCGATTAAGAACAAACTTAAGCAAGAACAAGCTAAAAATTCATGGCCCAGATCCCATTTTCTAGATCAGAACACATAAATCATCGGGTTCATCTAAATCAACTCACGATCTACGCTTTCAATCACAGGTTATATAAAATTTTGAATTGAAAAAAAATCGAAGAAAGGCATGATCTTTACCTCGGTAGAGAGAAAATCGAAACAAATGCAAGAAGTTTTGGTGTCGAATAAGAGAGATCACAAGCAGCTGATGACAAATACGGGATTTTTTTTCACCTGAATTTATAGTTTGGAGAGTTCAAGGTACAGATCGCATACGAGGTACTGAACAATTAATAAAAATAAATAATGATCAATAATTAATTAAAAACAAATAAAATAATTAGTTGTCTGTGTATTTTAGCGGGAAGGCGTATCTACGAATCATAAATGGACCTACTAACATTTGGTAAAAATTGGAGTGCTATTTGAGAGAATGGTTTTGTTTGGTTGGTCCAAAAAAGTGGAACTTTAGTTGGGCACTTGGTTTAATTAGGTAGCATGCATTATTTTTTCATAATTTTTTTCTCTATATAGATTATGTGAATATTTATTCATTTTATGCACGTGCAATACTTGTTTCATATGTTGAATTAACTTGAAGTGAAAAAAATAAGAAATGTTAAATAATGTCCGATTTCATCAATTTTTGCCACAAAGGTGCAAGCTGGATGAAAGAGAAGTTTCTTGTAATTTTTTCTATTCTTTTTTTTTTTATAAGTTAAGTATGTCGTATTTAATATTGAGTTTTATATGAATCACGTGAATATTTTTATTTACTTTTATACACGTGCAATATTTATTTCATGTATTGGAGTAAGTTGAAGTAAGAGATACGAAAAGTCATCCAGGAGTAAGTGGAGAACCACTATTGATCCTCTTTTATTTAAAGAAAAAAAAAAAGTAAGAGATACGAAAATGTCATTACTTTTTACTTTTTATTATAATAAAAATTCCATAAAATATACATGTGGGATGAATGGACATTTTCTTTTTACTTTTTCTTTATTTGATTAAGTATGTTGTATTTAATATGAATAAAAAAAAAAAAGATGCCATCAACCAATTTTCTGCACCTAAAGCCAAAAAATAAGAAGAAATTGCAAATTGACCAATATTCTTCCTTGGCTAGCTCAAAATGGCACCTAAAAATAGACTAGCAATTTATTTATTGCATCTGGTGTTTAAATGACCAATATTGATTTATCTTAATGCATACTGACCTTACAAAACTGGCAAAGGTCAGGAAAAAAGCACCCATAATTGACTTGTGGTATGAAATGATACATAAAAGAAAATGAAATGCATTTATCTAAGTATGAAACTCAGTCTGCATGGGAATAGGTTTTGGGTGTGAACGAGCTTAGATAGAACTCAAATTTTAATTAGCTCAACTAGTTTATAAATATTAACAAATCGACTTGTTTGGGCCGAATCGAGCCTAATTCGTTAATTAGACGAGTTCGATCGGGCCTTATAAAAGAAACTCACGAACGGCTCATTTCATTTAACAGTTCTACGAATAGGTTAGGTGTGGAAAGAACATCAAAAGTTTTGCTAATATTTATTTTATCGAAATTATGAGTGAAATAGAAAGTTATTTCACAAAATTTACTATATATTCATTTAATATCAATTAAAATTCTAAAGCAAAGTTTGCCAATTCATAGTTAACCAAACACAGACATTGTCCAAGAGCTTGGAAATTACAGGCTCGAGCTTGTTGATTTTCCAATCGAGGCGACTATGGATAAGAGCATTTAAATAAATCAAGACGTTCTTCAACTCCGCTCCATAAGGTTGGAGTCAGCTCGGTTTAGTAAGGTCGAACTCGATTCATTTATTTTAATAAATTGACTAAGGTCAAACTTGTTTATCGACTCAATTTGTAAATCAGTGGAGGTCGGCTCATCTCACAATAGGCTTAAGTTTGAATTTGAGCATTAGGAGTTCGAGCTCGGCTCGAATCATTACACCTCTATTATGGACATCGTGCATCCCTAAATTCCTTCGGAAGGTACTCTGTCAGATCAGCTTATTAGACAGACATATTTTTTCTCACAAATATTCATACTTTATTATAAAAAAATGTCAGGTTTTAAAAATCAGCACAAACAAATGTATGGGATATGAAAGTATACACTTTTGTTCATGACGGATCGGCATGCATATTCGTTGGGCTGCTTAACACAAGCATTTATGAAATCCTTCATGCTGAATTAGATATTTAGGGGAATATATTTGTTTAAGATTTCGAGTGACATTTTAAGATTTTTTTAGATTTAAGATTTGTTAAAATTTTCAGATTTAGGCGGATCCTATGAAATCTTAAGCGAGGAGATGAAATTTGGAGTGGAATTTTATACGATTTTTTCTTTTGGAATCCCAACAAATCTTAACAATTCTAATCTTAAATAAAGTTAAATACTTCAAGATTTTATAAAATTTTTAAAAGTCTTAAAAAATTTAAATTAAATGCACAATGAATTTTGAAGTCTTAAAAAGTCTTCAAAATCCCTTAGGATGTGTTTGTTTATAATCTATATATATATATAATTACTAGCTCAAAACATTTAATAAAACCTATTTAATTCTACCTATGTGGCAATTTAACAATTTTTCCTCCAAAAACCGTTACATTTTGATGTATTTAATCTTTCATTTAATCATTAAATAATTAATACTCATCACTTCAAAATTACAAAACTTATTTTAAATTTTTTATTAATGACAGTTAACCATATAATGTGTTGACCGTATAATGTGATTAGATGTTATTATTGTTGTTACATTTAATTTTTTTTAAAATAAAAAATATATTTGAAATTCTTAAATAAATAATAAATAATTCACGAATAAAAGACGTACCAAAATATACATTACATCCAATCAGATAAACGCAATTTAAAAAAAAAATATTCCAACTCTTTTAATTGTAAATTTGGTCTGCAAAAAAGTGAAAGAAAAATAATTAATCATTATATGCATACAGACTCACAATAATTTATTTATATCTGTGCAAATGCACAGGTCGAATACTAGTTTTGTTAAATCCATACTTAAAATTTAACTCAACTTCACTATTCTCCAATCAATATAATTAAATAATATCAATCAACAATTTTACACATCACATCCCTTACATAATTTTAACTAACCATAATTTGGCATCATCAATTTAATAATTTTACATCAAATCAATTTAATTATTTTATTTAAATATTATTTGAAATGAAAACTCAAAATCTTACTAACACCTACTAATCGGGGTGGGATGATGTTAGGCCCGGCAAAGAAAAGGCCTAAACGGTTTGGCCCGCACGGGCCGCCATGGGCCAGCCGCCATTTAGAAAAAAAGTAAAAAACAATTTTATTTTATAAATCACACAAGTTTAAGTTTTAACAGATAAACGCTTCTTTTCCTTTCCTTTTTCTACCAAAACGTAAGTACATTATACATAACACGCTTCTTTTCTTTTCCTTTTCCTAAACCAAAACATAATAAAGTACATTATACATAATAGATTCACCGAGACGGCCTTTTTTTCCCCTTTGCGTAACCCTAACCTCTCAACTCTCATTTTCTCAAGCGGCAAGTCTCTGTAGATCGACCGGTGTGCGGCGACATTGGAGCGGCGACGGAAAGCGGAAAGGCACCGGCGGAGTCGTGCGGCGTGCGACAAGAGGCGAGCAGGCCAGCGGCAGACAGCAGTGATTCGGAGCGACAACGCAGCTTTTTCCGGTAGTGATGGCTGAACCTAATTCTCAAAATTAAGTGTGATTTATGATTATTGAACTGATTTGTGGATGAATTTTGGTTTATTGAATTCTAAATTCTGAAAGTGAAATAGCTGAACCTAAATTCTCTGAAAATGAATGTGATTTGTGATTTATTGAATGATTTATGTATTGATTTTAGTTTACTGGAATGTGAAGGCTGAAAATTGAAATGAATTGTCCGGTGATGTGCCCAGTTTTTTTTTTTTTTGTGTGTGTGTGTGTGTGTGACTCCCATTCAAGTGCCCACTGCAAATTTTTCAATTTCTTATTCTGAAGACGATCTCACTCAGCAGTTTCTGAATTTTCTGGTGTTGCCTTTCCCTTCATTTTTCTCAGGCGTTTCAACTTCAAAGTTGCTAAGTTTCAGGAAAGCCATGGATGCGGAGAAGATGGAAAAGCTGAAGATCCAATTGCAGCAGTTATTGGATCAAATCCGTGAATTTGTTCGTGAAATCCCGCCAGCGCAGCTTAATGCCGCAATTGCAGTAGTCCTAGCGACTGTATTTCTCTTCTTGATCGGTAGGCGGCTGCAAAAAAACCCTAAATTTTATTAAAAGGCTTCAGTTTCGTGCATTTGTTCTTGTTCTCCGTTTTATTTGATTGTTTTGTGCTATTGTGATGTGTATTCAGTGGTATTCCGGTGTGAAGGTGTCGAGTGGGATTGTTGAGTGGCTCATTGTTCAAGCGTAGTTTTAGTTAATTGGGTTGCAGAATAATCGAAATTAAATGAGTTATGATGCATATTCGGCTGTATCCGGGTGTGAGGAGTTCGAGTGGCTCATTGTGAACTTGTAGTTTTAAGTTTTGCAGTTTATCTTGAAATCGAGTCTGAGTTTGATTTGGCTGCTGAATAATTGAGATCGAATGAGTTATGATGCATATCAAAAATTGAATTTGTCGTTTTTGAACTAGTCCTGTTGAGGTTGGGTGCAGCTCTAGCATTTTTATCGCAATTAGTTTCGTCATTTAGACATCCGGGTCAAAATTCGTCTTTGCGATATGGTTTGGTTGGAAAAACAAAAAGGATAAGTTATAGTCCACTACTAGGAAAATATATTCCATCAAGGTGGTTGTAGATGTTCTGTGTCGTAACTTGACTGCACATCTTTGTAGACTCATTGTTTCTCTTTATAAGAACCTTTGTTGGTTGCAGTTCGCATCTTCAAGCGAAAATCATCTAACACCGTTGTGCTTACTGGTTTGAGTGGAAGTGGCAAGACTGTTCTTTTTTACCAGGTTCGAATATGGTTGGTTTTGATGACAATTTATATGTATTATCTTTTTCTTAACTCAACCGGAATTTAACTATTTCGTACGTACTATTTTTCGCATTTACCAGCTTCGAGATGGCTCCTCCCATCTGGGTTCGGTCACATCAATGGATCCCAATGAAGAGACTTTTGTGTTACACTCAGAGACCACTAAGGTAATGCAGTATATTTATGAACTCAAACTTCAGAATTGAGAAATAAATGTTTGTTTGGACTTTGGGTTTATGCAAGAGAGTGAGAAATGATATTGGACTATGTCGAAAAACGCAGTTCACTAGTTAATGACTAAATCAACCCTGAAGTTTGGCTAAATGCTAATCTGATCAATATGTTACAAAACACTCTCCTCTCTAGAGTACATTTGTAAGATTGAAAGATAACTGAGGATTTTTGGTGGTTAGGGGCTACCTCAAAAGTGTTTTTGTAGTTATGTAAATCTCGATTTGCGTGCTTTTGCAGAAGGGAAAAGTGAAGCCTGTGCATGTCGTTGATTTCCCCGGGCATTCTCGTCTTAGGACCAAACTAGACGAGTTCTTGCCTCAAGCGGCTGCTATTGTTTTTGTGGTGGATGCTCTCGAATTCTTGCCGAATATTCGTGCTGCCTCAGAGTATGTTAGCCCTTTTAGTTTAAACACAGACTCCCATATACCTACAGACTGAACGAGTCAAACACTTATAATTTAATGCTTCTATTTTTTTTAGGTACTTATACGATATTCTGACCAAGGCGAGTGTTGTCAAGAGGAAAATTCCTCTACTGCTCTTGTGCAACAAAGTTGATAAAGTTACCGCGCACACGAAAGACTTTATCAGAAAACAGCTCGAGAAGGAAATGTAAGTAAAAAACCCAGAACAGTGAAGATTTTATGTTTACTCATTGTTCTAAGCTCGGTAACTTTTTTAATAATTGATTTTAATAATTGATTTGTTTCGTCGTGTTCAGTGACAAGCTTCGTGCATCAAGAACTGCACTATCATCAGCTGATGTCACGAATGAGCACACACTCGGTGTGCCTGGGGAAGCTTTTGCTTTTCACCACTGCATTAACAAAGTTACAGTGGCCGAGTCATCTGGTTTAACGGGCGATATTTCCCAGTTAGAGCAGTTTGTCAGACAACATGTAAAAGCTTAGACCATATTTTTCCCAGAGAGCAGTTGATCAGAGAACATTGTAAAAGCTTTTAGACATTTTAGACATTCCATTTGATTTGTTGCTAGGCCTGAATTTGTTAATTTTGCTTGTACGGTTTATTCAAATGCATTAATCATGGATTCATGAAGATTTTTATGAAATTTGTGTTGTGTTTATAGAATATCAGTTCCAATTTGACCTGGAAACATCAATCGAAACTGTACAATTCAAATGTCACTGTGACAAAAAAATTCGATGGTCTAATTTTGTACGTTTTTCAAGTAAAAAAGAGTGAATAAGAGAGATTCATTCTTGAGCAGAGCTACCCATTTTCATTCTGAAGCAACTGTCTTTTGTAGACACCACTGTTTTATCTTGAACACGAGAGTAAATACCGCAAAACACGGTAAATGTAGCACGCCTACGGCCAAATACCTGCAAAATTTGTTCAAAAAATTGCATATTTATACTATAAAATGTTTTTCTTTCGTTGGTATTATAGTTTTCAGAATGAAAACTAAAAAGTGTAATACTAACCATGCTGGAGCATATGGAGATGACAAGTCCAGAAAAGGATAAGGCCATCTGTTACAATAAAGAATTTATATAATAGTTTAAAACTATAAAAAACAAATATCTAGTAAAAATAATTTGGAGATTTTTCCAAAGAGATAAAACTATACCTCATTGAAACAAAGGCATGAAAGATCCATTGAAAAACGACAAAAACACACGTCCACAAAACAAAATATGCAATCCGAAAGAAGGGAAACTTCTGCAAAAAGATCAGAGCCAAAAAAATGAAAATTTAGAAGCGAAAACAACATGAAATAAAAATGAAAGGTATAACAGAACGTACCAGGCAATTTAAAAATGTCTCGCCAAGGAGGAAAATGGCATTCACAGAATGCACGCTAACGACGAGCTGCAGATAAAAAAGACAAAAAAAGAAAAAAAAAAGTCGGCTTCTTTAAGAATAAAATGAATTCGGACAACACAAAGGATGAAAACTTTGTACTTACGAAGTTTAATCTGTAATCTTTGCCGGTGAGAAATGCATAAATTATGAGCCAAAAGACGATATCAGTAAGTACAACAGCCCCAGCACACATCTGCCATTACAAGTAAAAAAAAAAAATGAATTAATGAGGTAAAAAGAATAATAACCATGTTTTAATACATATTAGCAGAAGATTACTTGCCTGAAAAATTATTTGCAAAGCATATTCCCAACCAGATGCAGTTTTTGAATTAACATCTTGATCGTGATTTAAGCTTCTATTTATGGTGTTTGTATCTTCACAATGGCCGATTTCTAAATCTGCTTTATCGCGATGAAAAAGGCATCCGTAAATGGAGAGTGAAGTCCCGAGCTACAATATACAATCAATCTAGTAAGTGTCCGTTTTTATTTTTTATTATAATAGTACAACATAACAATGGGAAAAAAAAAAAAAACGATGTCTTGTGCTTATTAGAAAAAGGGTCAACAAGAAAGTGAAAAAAAAAAGTCAAGCTTTCGAGCAACCTACCCCGAAATAGATAGTCACCAAGGCAAAAGTCCACCTGTTTATTGACAATGAGAAAGAGAAGTTGAAAAACATTGCATTCCATATAAGCTTCTGATTACTTTCATTACAAAGAAACTAAAAGTAAAAAAATAAACCTCCACTTATGAATGATTAGAAACAAAAGGTTCTCTTGAGCAAATTCCAACTAAATTTTGAACAAAGACACTAACTGCATGATTGGATACAATTTTTTTCAAAGAAATCCAATCACTTTTTTTAATTCAAGTTTAACCAAACTTTACCTCAACCCTACTTTTACATCAAATCAACTTTTAATAATTTCATTTTAAATATTACTTTAATATAAATTCAAAATCCTTCGAATAACTAACCATACCAATTTTTTCAAAATAATCCATGATTAACAAAAAAACAAAAGCTCATTTTGAGTGGATTTATTTGTAAACAATCACAAACAATCAAATGGGAAAAAAAAATTAAAAAATGAACTGCAAAGGTCCTTACTGTGTGTAAAAATAGAATATGCCGACACTGTGGATGATAGTATCGGCAAGAATCACTCCCAACAAGACACAAAAAGCAATAACTCGATAAACGAGCAGCCAAATACAGCCGACTGATTTCGAACATGTTCCCCAAGCTTGGCCTCTGTACAAAACACTCTTTGCTGATTTACTTTTATCAGCATTCGTTTGATTATTTGATGTTTTACGCCGTTCATATTTCCATATTATTACCAATCCAAAAACCATAGCTACCAAGATCCATATTGCACAGAGCAAAAATCTCCAGTTCAACCAATAATCCCGGGCCGTCGTGTCCACTGTCATGACGGGCCCGTTTAGCTAGCACTATTGGAAAAAAAAATAAACAAAAAAAAAGGAAAATTATCATAAATTGTGGTAATGCTGTTAAAGTCAAGAACAGAATTTTCATGTGCATAATGTTCTAATCATAAAAGGGTTTGTCTTTAGTAATAAAAATAAGAAATAAAAAAGGAGCAGAAAAAGGCATTTCGATTCTATGAATAAATTAGAAGTGGGATTCTTTGACATGCAATATGGATTTCAAAACGAAACTCGTCAAAATACGCTTAATTCGATCATGCATGAAAAATTGATAACAAATACGAAGTTAATAACTTTTAAAATATATTTACAATTAAGTTGGTCGAGTATTGTATAATTTTAAAAGTTAAATCGATTACTCTGAAGCACGAAAATTTGACACATAGGATCACAAAACAATAGAAATCGACACAGAGAATTACGACACACAAAAAATCGACATGTAGAATTAGGCAATTGAATTATTTGCAATATAATAGCAGCACAATTTGAAGCCTTGCAGCCCACAACTCTGCTAATACAAACCAACACACATAGAATTGTAATTTGTAACTATCAGTTGTATATTTCATTTCTAGCTATATATATTCATTCTCTGTCTACAAGGCTAATGGTGCAGAAACCTTAAATATTACATGAAAATTTGATAACAAATACGAAGTTAGTAAATATAAGTTTCTCTAGAAACCTTAGATATTACAAGAAATAGAAAACAATAAAAAATTACCACAAAACATGAGATATATCAGCACAATTTTAAACATATTTTGGTGCAGAAACTAAAATTTGGAGGCAAAATCAACTCTGTATGGCTGGCATAAAATTTTGGACAGAAAAGAAGAAACAAAAATGGAGAAGATGGGAGTTTGAGAAATTGTACCTGGGTTTTCGAGGAAATCAAATGTTTGATAAGACCATTTTTTACCAATTTATTTGTTTTCCTCGAACAAAAGAAGAAAATCCCAGAAGGAGGAGGAGATTCAAGAATATGACAAATAATTAACCTTTTTCTTTTGTCTTATTTTAAGAGGGGAAAGAGATAGGAGAGTGAATGGGATTAAAACCTGACCACAAATGCTCAATTTTTTTATTTTTTTATAAATTTTTTTTTCCCATATCTGCCACCTATTTATTTGGTTATTATATTTAATGTCCATTATTTTGATGGCTCACCCATTTTTTACCGCTAGATTACACACTTATATACATTACTGTTAATCTAACGACAAAAAAATTCATATATACAAATATGTACTAATCAAAGGTACAAAACCATGCACTCAAAGGTACGGTCCATTTTTTCATTTTGATTTTCTCAGCTAAAAGTTTAGTTTTTATTTATCTTTATTTGTATGTACAAATTATTTTTTTGATGCAACATTATTATTAAGTGGAGGTCGACTAAAAATGTATATTTATATTATTATATAATTCTTTTGTTTATGTTTTTTATTACGAAAATATGCAGATTTAATGATTAAACGGCTAATAAAAGACTTGCCAATTCGTATTTATTTATTTTGATCACCGTGGATTTCACATATGGAAATCCAAGTCCAATATAGTAGGTTTGCTAAAAAAAATGTTGTGTGGCACAAAGTATGGCTGTTATTAGTTAATTTTAATATGCTTATAAAAAAGTTTGAAAATATTTTTTCATGATCAAAGCAAATCTCCCACGCAATTTCTTGATAAAGGCTTAATTTTTCCTTTTGACCTAAATATACAAATTTTTATCTACGTATACTATTTTCTGCTATTGTTTCTTTAAAAAAAAAAATATCTATATTTGTACTATTTTTTACAATTTGCTCAATTTTTGAGAAGCTGAGTCCAGTGTTTCCGTTACAGCACCTAATCACAGTCACCTAACTGGCTTAAAATGATTAGAGCATCTCCAATGGCCATTCTATTTCTCTATTTTGTAGCCACATGTCACAAATAATCTTATGTGGCTTGAAAAAATTCTAGAAGGCTTTCTAGATGTAGAAGCCTTTCTAGACAAGTTCCATTGTATATTAGCATATTTATTTAATTTATTTATCTTTTCCAACCAATTAAAATTTTACACATCACAAATGATACCACAATTAACATCAACCATTGGAGACATAATTTTTTAGTTTTCATTCTCCATGCCATACAACACAAAATGGATCATTTTCCATTGGAGATGCTCTTAGAGGCTATAAAAAATAGAAAATTAACAAACAAATAAATAAAAGGAAAGGGAAAAAAAAGAAGAAGAAAAACACATTGTGCAGAGGCTTAATGAAAATTGAAAATTAATGCAAGTTAAAATAAACAAGATTCTGCAGCTAAGCTACAGAAATTGGCAAAAATGCCTGTAAATGTAGGTGAAAAAAAAAAAAAATTAAGTACACTTTAATCTGTCTTCTTACATTTTCTACGCTTCATCCTCACCGTCCGTCAGCTGCTTAGCTAACAAATCAATGGGCAGTGATCCAACTGGGACCGAATTATTGACTGCTTCAAACGAGTCATCATATTCATCATCATATGAATCATCGTATTCATAACCTTTGTCAAATTTTGAAGTCGATGAACTTTCTTTATTCAAATATATCATGGCTGGATCCGACTGCTCTATTGTCCGAGACTTGCTGTCAAATTCCTCAACTCTCGACAAAAGCTCGTCTGGACTGAGGTCAAAATCGTCAAGCACCGAAGCTTTTCCTGATTCGATCGCACGTTGCCATAGGGAACACATTCTAGGGCTGGGCCCCACTGATTTCATACATGAGTTGCGGAAAGAAAAAACACACACACGATTAAATTTTGGAGAAACATAAAATAAATGAACCCAAAATAGCAATTTCTATAATAAATATTTTAAAAAGGCAAAATTGTATTTTTAGTCGTGCTGGTTAAACGCCATAGCAATTTTAGTCCCAAAATTCTAACATTTCGCTTTTTGGTCATGCGATTTAATATTTTGCAACTATTTCAGTCCTTTGAGGTCTAAAAAATTAGCAACAAATTCCAAATTTTCAGATTTTTTATTAGTAATTTAAGTCATGTAATTTAAATTTTTGTTGCAATTTCAGCTCTCAAATGAATGAAATTACAGCAAAATATCAAATTTAAATCACATGACCAAAAGGCGAAAAGTTAAAATCTTGGAACTAAAATTGCTATGAGTTTAAACCAACAGGACTAAAAATGCATTTTTGCCTTTTAAAAACTACAATAATGGAATTAGGTAACTTTCCCCTTCGAGCATGACAAGAAGGGGGTTCAGAATTTTTTTCAATTCTTTATTATAAAGTACGTAAATTGATGAATAAATGGAGGGCCTAACGAAAGAAAATTGTAATTCAATGCACAATCATCGATTTTACATTACGAAAAGTACCTGAAACATTGTTGTTGGCTCTTGACTTTGAGCCATCACTAAACCTGCCATTGATTTTAGTAATCCCATCTTCTTCGTACATAGATTTCCACTCTCTACCCCTCCACATCAGTATTTGTTCATCATCGAACGAAAGCAAAACACAAGGTACAAGTTCCTGTTCATGAATACAGAGAATTTGAATACCTTCTTCATTTTTCGTCGTTAAAAATAAAATGTGGGATAAAAGCCATAATAAAATGCACAGGTATGAATGAAATGATACGAAACCTTGAGCTTAGCTCCTAATTTCTTGTAATCACTTGCATGCATCCCTTTACAATCTATCTTCACCAATATTGATCCTTCAAAAGCAGTCCTTACATCGGTCACCAGTGTAAGATAGACTCCATTTTTCGCTATTTATACGACAAAAAAAGACAACAATTCAAGAGAGAATAGAACTCACACTTCTAAAGATATCCACTAAGGGTGCACAAATTTCGGTTAACCAAGTCAAACCGACTGAAACCGAAATTCAGTTTGGATCGAAACCGAAAACGAATATTTAGTTCGGTTTTCAGTTTACATTTTCTTAAAATTTCGATTTATGGTTCGGTTTGGATAATAGTAATCAGTTAACCGAACCGAATTTAAAACCGATTTATACATATAAGTTATAAAAACATTAATTTGCTTCTGATGATTTCGAGCTTCAATGACCCCTAAGATGGCTCAACCATTAATTTACACTCAAAATTGACTTCGTCATAGTCCAAGTCATGGTTCAGGTCCGAGATCTTCTTTCGCGGAGAATTTAAAATTTATTGAGAAGATTAAACAACGTGATAAAAAAATCAAATTTTTTGGTTTGAATAAAAAATTAAATTTGTGGTTCGGTTAAAAATTCAAATTTTATTGAAAGATTAATTGTTTATTGCGACTAACCGATAACCGAACCGAACCAACTATTCGGTTAAAAACTGAACCTAACCATAAATTTTGGTTCGGATTTCGGTTCTTATAATGGATAAACCGAATTTTAAGTTTTTGGTTCGGTTTCGATTGAATGAGCAGTCCTAATATCCACCACATGTAAACTGTAAAGACCTTTTTCCTTTTACCTAATTTACAAATTGGCAAAAGGGTTTTGCCTTTCGTTCTCAATTCATCTGCTTCTTCTTTAGTTAACCCCTCGGGAGCTTCTTGTATAAGCTTTGGGTAAACTGGGGTGGCGGGCTTCCAAAGCATGACGGGAAATTTAGGACGCTTTTGGTGATCATAGTTTCTACCTCGAAAAACGTATAAAACTCCGCCCACCCTATGAATAATCTTTCCACCGGATTTTTCCTATCACAACATAAGAAAAAAATTTAATCTTGCGCGTGTAGAAAACATTTCTGGGCAGAAAGATCATGCAGGAGACAATAAAAACCTCTAATCGCTAGGAAAAGAAGAAAAAAAAAAAGAAAGAAATTTGTGTAATGTGAAATGTGAGGAACCTCGATGCACAAGCAAATGTTGTCCATGTCGACAGTTGGGACACCTAAACATCGAACTTTACAAACGGGCTGTCTTCTCCAGTGTGTATGTATCAACTCCAACATGTTATGAGTTAATCCATCTCTACCTACATTTACCCAATTTTTGAATTAAAGGACTAACTTCACAAGATATGATAGCATATGAATCATGAAAACAAATCAACAATGTTATGAGTTAATCCATCTCTACCTACATTTACCCAATCTCTGAAATAAAGGACTAACTTCACAAGATATGATAGCATATGAATCATGAAAACAAATCAACAATGTTATGAGTTAATCCATCTCTACCTACATTTACCCAATTTTTGAATTAAAGGACTAACTTCACAAGATATGATAGCATATGAATCATGAAAACAAATCAACAATGTTATGAGTTAATCCATCTCTACCTACATTTACCCAATCTCTGAAATAAAGGACTAACTTCACAAGATATGATAGCATATGAATCATGAAAACAAATCAACAATGTTATGAGTTAATCCATCTCTACCTACATTTACCCAATTTTTGAATTAAAGGACTAACTTCACAAGATATGATAGCATATGAATCATGAAAACAAATCAACAATGTTATGAGTTAATCCATCTCTACCTACATTTACCCAATCTCTGAAATAAAGGACTAACTTCACAAGATATGATAGCATATGAATCATGAAAACAAATCAACAATGTTATGAGTTAATCCATCTCTACCTACATTTACCCAATTTTTGAATTAAAGGACTAACTTCACAAGATATGATAGCATATGAATCATGAAAACTGGGTAGGTTCGTGAAGAGGTTCGGATTGGGTAGGGATGCGAAAATCGCCATGGAAATTTGTGTGTTTGATGGTAAATGTCTGTGCTAATTTTTGTGTGTGTGTGGCTGTGTGCTGATTTATTTATTTATTTATTTTCTTCTTAGGAGGGAAGGTTGTGAAGAAGACGGAAGGACTGGGCACCGAGATAACTTTACACAGATTTTTTTTCGGTGCCTTTGAAACGAGAAAAACGACGTCGTCAATCGTCATGTTTTATTTTTATTTTATTTTTATTTTTTTATTTTTTTAAGTAGAATTTGAGAGTTTAATGTCAAGTGTTTTAAATCTCATCATAATAGGTCTTATTAATAACTAATTTTCAAATATTTGTTGTCATGGTGCACAATGTCATTCGTTATTGTGGCATTTGTCACAATAATCATGCTCTTTTCACAATAATCACATCGTTTAATAAGTTTAATAAAAAAAAAATTGTTATGCTGAATAATGAATTTGTCACAATTATCATGCCCTTTTTCACAATAATCATGACATGTAGTAAGCTAATACTAACAAATTTTTTTGTGTCATGCCGAACAATGCCAGTCCTCATCTCGCCATGTGTTTATCTTGTCACTTATCATAATAATCATATCGTGTAATAAGTTCACTACTCACAAAAAAATTTATGTCATGCTTAACAATGTCATTTCTCATTGTGACATTTGTTTATCCTACCATTTGTCACAATAGTCACGTCGTGTAATAAGTTCAATGCTAACAATTTATTTTTTGTCTCATGCTAAACAATGTTATTCCTCACCGTGACATTGTTTATCATACCATTTGCCACAACAATCATGTCATGTAATCGTGTAATAAGTTCAATGCATGTCGCACAATGCCACTCTTCATCGTGCCATTTATTTGTCTTGTTTTTTGTCACAGTAATCATGTCGTGTAATAAGTTCAATACATAACAAAATTTTGTCGCATGTTGAACCATGTCATTCTTCATCATGCCATTTGTTTAGCATTACAATAATCGTGTTTGTTTGTGTGGCGTTTGTATCAGGCTATATATATAGTGTTATCTCAAGAGTTATGCCAAAGTTCATGGTAATTACTCAAATTTCTGCCAAAATAAATTAAAAATATTTGAACACCAATGCCACATTATATAAGCAAAGGAAAATATACTAAGTGCAAAATACAAAAATACTCGTCAGTAAATATATAAATTGGACGTGAAGTAAAAAGTCACATAACTACAAATTAAAGGGGGTAAAAACAAACCCAGCAAACAACTTCATAAAGTTAAATTGTAGAACACTAGCCCAAAAAATTTTACTTGTGCACCGTTTTTATGATTAAATTACTTTCTTCTTCGGTTATCGACAGGCATCGTTTTGGTCGAGCCAACGTCTGTGAGCTCTGCACTTATACTGGTTTTCATTTTTGAATATATTTACACAAGGCTTGAACTTCTCCATAATGATCATGGCTTTCGTATTCAGGAAAAAGAAAAATGACTTATAATAATCAAATTCTCCATAGAATGATGAAGGGTCAAGGAGCCAAGATACTAGACGAACACAACTTCTAAAGATGATAAACTTCCATGCTTGTACTAATAAATTCATAGAATGAGTTGAGTTTGTGCAGATGAACTCCAAGACATGCCAAAGACGTTTAAAAGCACTAAGAAACAATGCATCTTCTAATCTACTAACACCATATGCAAGAAAGAATCAAACTCAAACAAAAACAACAATAGCAATGGCCAACATGATGCAATAATACCAACAAAATTTAAAAAACCACGTTNTTCTTGGTCATCTTCCTATTCTTCCTTTAGCATTGCCTTCATAAGCAAGCAACAAATATCAATGAATCAAAATCAATAACATATTTTGCCAACACAAATAGAATCTAACTGATAAAACTATGCATACTTCATAAAAGAAAAATGAAAATCCACTTACAATTCTCAAGGCTCCTCCAACAGAAAATCCATTAAATTGCGCACTTTGAATATCCCGAGTCTGGGATCGTTGTAAAACCAATAAATAACTTTCAGCCTTCGTCGGAGTTCCGGTTTGTCCTTAAATTCCTGCACACTCATCCGGTCCACTTCTGTTCCACATGTCGGAAGGAGGCCGGCCGGAGGGTCCGAACCCACTGGATCTGGGCCATCCCCGCCAGGAGATCGTTCATTGGCCGGAGTTCGTTCATCCCGTTCTGGATCTGGGCCATCCCCGCCAGGAAATTGTCCATTGGATCTGATCTGTAGAAGACGGATGTTACGGTTTTCTAAAATGCTCCCGAGTGCGGGACATGCGACGGCCATTTGAGCTGGCGAGCCGGGTTTTTATGGCGGAGGTAATTAGGGTTTACGCTGTAATCGCGAGAATTAAGGGATTACAGAGAATTGTTGGAGATACGATTGGCTCCTTTTCAGCTGGCCCAATTCCAAGTATTATAAATATTTAAAATTTGCAATACTTTGCTCTTTCCCGGATTCCCCAATTTCAAAATTCAAACCCCCTTTTGATGAAAAAACAGAACTCGCTGCTAATCTCCCGCAGATCGTCGTATTTCTCGAAACACAAAAGCGCGCTTTTATCAAACCATTTTCCTCTTTCACCACGCAACCTCTGCAGCTACAGCAGCACCCATGTTGGGGACGACAATGTTTACCGCCATAACAGAGCCATCAACAGGTTTATAAAGTCTGGCTCTTTGGACTCTGCCGTCAAACTGTTCGATGAAATGCCCGAACGAGATGTCGTCACTTGGAACACTATGATTTCGGGTCATTATCGTTCTGGGTTTCTCGAACAATCTTTAAGGTTGTATGGTCAAATGGTTTCTCGAGGAATTTTGGAGAATCCGTCGACTTTTTCCACCGTCTTGAGTATGTGCGCTATTGGAAAGTTCTTTGAAGATGGGCTCGTTGTGCATTGTAGAGCAATCGTTTTCGGGTTTTGTAATAATGTGTACATTGGCTCTGCGCTCGTTGATCTTTATTTGCGAATGGGACTTACCAATGTTGCCTTAAAGCTGTTTGGTGCTTTGAAAGAGAGAAATTTGGCTACTTGGAATATTGTTCTCCGAAGTTTATGTGAAGCGGGAAAGTCGAAACATTTCTTAAGTATTTATAATGAAATGAAATACGACGTTTTGGAGCCAAACGGGCTCACTTTTTGCTATTTAATTCAGGGCTGCGGTCACAGAAGGTTTCTGGAGGAAGGATTGCAGCTTCATTGTTTTGTAATTAAGAACGGATTCGTAAATTCGAATTTGTTCGTAGCAAATGCTTTGGTCGACTTTTACTCTGCCTGTGGTAAGTTTATCGAAACTAAAAAATCATTCGCGGTTATCCCTAAGGAGGACGTCATTTCTTGGAATTCAATGGTCTCGGTTTGTGCAGCCAATGGTTACTCGTTTGACGCCCTCGAATATTTTAACAGGATGCAATTTTGGGGCAAGAGGCCATCTTCTTGCTCTATCTTAGCATTCTTGAAATTATCTAGCACGGCTGAAAATTTATTTTTGGGTAAGCAAATTCATTGCTACACCTTGAAATTAGGCTTCGAAACCGTGCTCGTTCAATCCGCTTTAATCGACATGTACGGTAAATGTGGAGATCTCGACTGCTCGGTGGGCGTATTCAACAGCATTCGCAAAAAAACCGTCGAGTGTTGCAACTCACTCATGACGTCTTTCCTAAAATCCGGTCTAACCGAGGACGCGATCGATCTGTTCTGTCTGATGTTAGACGAGAAAATCGGGTTCGACGAAACCAGTCTCTCTTCGGCCTTGAAAGCGGTTAATGTGGGTCCCGCTAGCTCTGCCAGTGCCAGCTGTCCAATGCTGCACTGTTGCGCCGTGAAATCGGGCTTCGAATCCAATGTCTCGGTTCTGTGCTCTCTAATCGACACATATTCCAAATCGGGCCGGCCCAAATCCTCCTTCGGGCTTTTCCGTCAAATTCGCTCACCAAATGTGCCTTCTTTCACTTCTGTAATAAGTGCGCTTGCTAGGGATGGGAAAGGGAAGGAGTGTGTGCAAATGCTATATGAAATGGTCGAAAAGGGTATAAAGCCCGATAAAGTGACGTTCTTGAGCGTGTTAACGGGCTGCAGCCATTCGGGCCTTGTGGAGGAAGGGAGATTGGTGTTTTCTTGGATGCGGGCCCATTTAGGCCCGTCTCTCGAGAGGAAGCACTATTCGTGCATGGTTGATCTATTGGGCCGGGCTGGTTTGTTGGAAGAGGCTGAGGAAATGATAGAGGGCAGCCCGTGGGAGGGCGATTACGTAATTTGGAGCTCTGTGTTGAGGAGTTGCAGGATACACCTACACGAACGGGTTGGAAGAAGGGCCGTGAAGAAGTTGATGGAAATCGAGCCAGAGAATCCTTCTGGTTGGGCGCAGGCTTCGAGTTTTTATTGGGAGATTGGGGATTTTGAGGCTGCGAAAGAGTGTCGGGAGATTGCGTTTGCGAGAAAGGTGGGGAAGGAGATAGGTCGGAGTTGGATCGAGATTTTCTAAGCTCCTCCCAATGATTTCATATAGCAGCATATATGTTGTTTCTACATATGCTTCTTATGCATTCTGAACAATTGGTTGGAGAAATCAATGAACAAAGTTTGTGTGTGAAATAGTGATTTTGAGTAGCTTATGTTAATTTTTTACATCGTCATACACATATTGTCTACTGTTGTATAGAATCTGCTTATCAAGAATCTTGTATAATCTGTTGTTTGTTGTTCCGTCGTGATTTCTGTAAGGTGCTTATGAGAATTGTGTACCAACCTATCGGATTCTTGATTGTACGTAATTAGCTAACTAGCATATTCTTGATTACACAATTAAGTTAACTAGTTGAATATGGCCAATAATTTAGAGAAAATAAAATTTCGGTCAACAACTTTCGAGATTGCGTAGAAGAAAATCAACTAACCAATCAAATGAGAACATTTTGTCCAAACACGTGAGTTTTTTTTATTTTTTTTTTATTTTTTTCGATACTAATATTAAAACTCAAAAAGAGTTCACTCGAAATATCAACTGACATCACTAGAACCAAAACAAAATGCAAATCCACCTTACCATTGAAATGTGCAATCAACCAAGAGGAGTAACAAAAACACTCGAAACACTCAAAGAGACTAGAAAAACTCCATAAAAAAGACTAACAAACCAGACAAAGTTGGATTAAAAATTATAAAATTGAAGAAAAATAAGAAAATACTATAATACACATTTACTTGTAGTACCACGTACAACACACATCGACAATAATAATAGAATACACCTCCATTGCATCTCACGAGCACACGATTACAGTCATCCAAACCAGTACACAATCCAACCCCACAATCAAGAAACTAAAAGAGAGCGGCAAATGAGAGGCCTCGTAACCAAAATCTGTTAACTTACTCAAACTCCTAGTCAGATCTGACGAGGAGACGAGTCTCAGCATAGATCTGAGCTCCTGCAACCTTCAATCGGGAGAGAAACGAACATCGAGGGAGCGAAAGCAACCAAGCAGCTAACAGTGACAAAAAAGAGTGGAACGCCAATATCACCCCTTCAACTGTGACACTCAACCACCGACCTCCGAAAGAAATATGTGATCCAACTCCGCCGCTGTCTGACCTGAAAAGGTTGGTCGAGAATCGCAGGCACGAAATGGGACGACGACTTCAACGCTTATATCGACAACTTCATGACCAGAGCAGCTGACTGAGAGGCGTTGATATCCCATACCTCCTCCTAGTCGGCGAATACCTCACCCGCGAAACAAGGCGCAACCCAGGCGTGGTCTCGCAGCAAGGAAGAAGAAGTGTGGCACCGAGGCCGGGCAACACCATTTGGACAGAGCAGCGACTTATAGAAACAGGGAGATGTAGACATAGACATGTCCACGGGTCGAACCGGCCCGGACCCGGACCGAACCCGGCCCGGCCCGAACCGGAACCGGCCCGGAGAAACCGGTTTTCAAACCGGAACCGGAAACTTAAAGGGCCGGTCCCGGGCCTTTTCGGTCAAAAAAAAAACCCGGCGGGCCGGGCCC